ATCAAATCTGAAGTAGCACACTTACGACCATATTTCTTTACCCGGTATACTTGCTTGACCACCTCTTTCTTCGTCCATGGGGTCTGGACCGATTCCTTATGATTGAAACGGTCTTTAACATGTGATTGTTCAAATGTTGATCTTCTCGGAGCTGCATAATATTGGTGAGATGGTCTAAAATAAGATGGAGAATGTGCCCTTGTATCATACCTGTCCCATGATGGATATGGATCTATATGAGCATAGAGAGGCATCCACGGCATTGGCATTGGTGTACCAAAATAAGGTTATGAATATGTTGCATTAAAATTCTTACTTTGCCAATACCGATCCTCATATTTGCGCCTTGGGGTGATTTTGGATTCTTTGCATGATTTGGCCGATAAGCATTCTTCTCTTCACTCTTGTTTTGATATTTTTCCCATAGTTCAGCGAAGGTGATTTTTGATCTCTTACACTTGCGCTTATTTCGGCCATTGTTTTCTTTTGGTTTGCTTTCATCGATCATTGGATTTGCTTGCTACCCCCCAGTCCTTGGCGTCTCCATTATAACTTTGATGGAATTCTTGCCCTCAAGATTATGTTCATTATGCTCTTCAACAGCTTCTTTACTTGAAAGATTGATACCATCACCTGCAGTTTTTACCTTCTCTTTAAAAGGAATGACTTGAAGCAGCCGATGCAAAAACTTTTTGCCATCGGGACCAATCGGAATAGACTGGTCATCTCTTGGTGTTTCAGCAAACTTCAACCGTCCTTTTTCAATGGCCAATTTAACTATTTGACGAAACATGTTGCAATCCTAAAAAATTATGCTTGAACGAATCATGCAACTTACAATACATTCGTCCTTGGATAGATGGCTCAACATGGCGATCAAGAATTCTAATATAATTATTTGTCAACAATAAATTAAATATTTGATCACACATGCTTGAATTGAAGGTAAACTTTTTATTATTTAGCCAGTCTTGGTGTGAGAACGGCTTTGGAGGTAAGAAAACGAATGGTTCACATTTGGAATCTCCCCATTCGGCTATGCAATGTGTTTTGCACTCTATATCCGATGGCTTTCGATAAGATATCATAATAGCATCGGTTTTCTCAACAGAATTTACTCTTGGCTTTAAATTTCTGAAATGAAAATAGTTAGAACATACATGTCTCAATTGAGACCAAATGTAAGTCAAGTAAGAAATAAACAAAGCTACCCAATTAGATATGAACTTTAGATAAAGCAATGAGGAAAGCTTTGGCTGCAACAATAAGTCATTATCGTTCTTTATAAATGGCTCACTGGGTTGACCGATATGTTCTATAACAATTTTATTGCTACCAAGTAAATTACCCTTCTTCATTGGTCTTTCAAAATTACTTATGGGGATTTTTCTAATAGATGCGTCAATAATGAAGTCGTGAGCAAATCTGAAAATAGGTAAACTACTCCTATGCATACCTCTTCAAATACGTTGGGAGAGCATGATGGTGGTGTGACTTGAACAATATCTTGCTTTGTCTTTGCATGACTCTCCAACGCCTTGTCATCATCTTTTTCTTTATTCCGTGCATCATTACTTTGAAGATCCTTATCAATCGAACTTTGTTCAGCTACTTGCTTTTGTCCTTGAGTCTTGTCAATTTCTACGACACGGAAATCATAGGGCAGGAAGTAGGTTCCATTAACTTCAGAAAAATCAAGCATGGTTGTTTTGCTATGCTTGCCATGCCCTTTCTCAATAATACTTGCCTCTTTGGATTTGATGGATTCCGAATATATAATATTTGATTCGGCTTTTTCAACAGAAGCACTTTCATGTTCCAAATCATCCTTCTTTTCATTGATACTACCAATTGGCAATGCTTCTTTTATCTGAGCCAATTCCTTTTCTATTTGTTTCTGGCGGCGAGCGGCAAAATTGGCTTTAAGTTTTTTCTCAATTTCAGCCCTCTCCGGATATGATTGCCTCCCAATGCTTTTAGATTCTTTCGGCAATGACACACGGGTGTTGCCGAAATTTTGCAATTGTGTAGGGGGTGTATAATATGATGTAGTACTAGGTGAAGGCATATGCATTGTTGTAAAACCATATTTTTGCTCGCCAATTCTATTAATTGGCAATGATTCATCTTCTTGCAAAACTCTAGCTTTTATTGCGGCATAATCAGGAAATAGCCCCTTTTCATGTTGTTCAAGGCAAATAGCACTAATCCTCTTATTTTGGGCTAAACTCTTCAATGCAGCCGCCACTACCTCATCTTCTATAATATTGGGCACAACCGCTCCTTTAGAATTTACATTTATTTGGCTATAACCAGGAAGGTGTGAAGCCGAATTATGAGCATCTACAGTTGTGTATGGTGCCGAAAAATTACTAACATGAGGTGTAGCATTGATGGTTGAGAGTAACTGGCCGAATAGCTAATACTAGCATGGCCAATTCTCCCATCCATCGGCAAGTTTGGATTGACATATTGCAAATTCGTTGCCGATGAATAAGAAGGTGGATACTTTGTTGGATGCTATTAGAAGTTCTAACTTGGGGTGTTTCAAATTGATTAATCGAACTCATCATGTTGCTCATCGGCATATGAATTTGCTGGGTTGCCGATGCATGTGAGCTGGAATACATATGTCTCATGTTACTAGTATCATAAAAAATTGAAGCATGTAAATTACTTTGAATCGGCCCTTGCATGTAGTTAGATGCATAATTGAAAAAACTAGGGTTGGCCGATACAGTATACTCATTGAATGATCTAGTAACACCATATGAATTATTTGCATCTATAGTAGGGAATCGTGTATTCATATTACCTTTGTAGATTGCAAACCCCAGGCAACGATCTCTTCGTAGCAAGAACAGGTCGGAGACCGTTCGAAGCTTCGTCCCCAGCGGAGTCGCCAAAAAGTGTGTATGCACACGAACACATCACCGTGTACCTCCAACGCCGAGGGTGATGCAGCGCAGCTCACGTCGAAGGAGACCTGCCAGAAGCGCGGTACGCAAGACAATCCGGCGGGCGCTTTTGTAGATCCAAAACCCCACACGCCCGAGAGGGACCCCGTCAGGGCGCGCGACGACTATGGGCTGCCCTAGGTCGGCCTGACCGCCCCTAAGGCCTCGAGGTTCGCCGCCCTGCAACAAGAAGAACAAACGAAGAACGAGAAAGAAGAAGAATAAGGGAGATAGATAAAGGTAAAGATAAAAAGTGGTAGATGATTTGATCGATTGTGTGTTGTTCAATCAACCGTCACCCCTTAGATATATAAGAGGCAGCTGTACTTCCCGTGCAAGGAAAATGCTTGGATTCACATCCAAAACCCTAGTCAAATTCGGATTGGTTTTGTCCGAACTTTCCAAAACTGTTCGGTTAAACTGGTTGCACCTTGCGGCTCTTTTTTGTGGTGGTAAACGATCTTGGATGGAAACGGGCCCAAAAACAATCTTGACCGTTTCGACGAGATGAACAATTTTCATATTGAACGTTTTTTTATCAGAGGTCATCTTGAGGGGTCAAATCGGTCACGCAAAACAGGCTATTCCCTCGCGCTACCCATCAGACATGTGTCTGGTGGGGCGCGCCAAATCTCACCTCGTGACAGGGCTGCACCCCGATTGCTCTAACTTTTGCATACGAACTCGGATTTGGACAATTTTTATATCAAAATCGATCGTTTCGACGAGACGATGACAACCCGTGTAGATCATTTTTTTCATTTGAGGTCGTCTTGGGGCTTAATCGGCCAAACCGTACTCTGAATATAAGATATTAGTACTTTGAGCATAGTTTCGGCCTTCGAGATGAAATCGGACGGCGATGACCCAAACTTCAAAGATGTTCATATCAACAATACGGAACTCTTTCATGTAGATCACTTCTTCATTTGAGGCCATCTTAAATAAGGTCTTGACCGTACCAAAATCTGGTGTCAACAAGTGGGTTGTTGGTAAGAATCGATCCATGTATTAATGTTTTGCCAACTACAATTTGTAGTTGTAAAGTCGGTCGTTAGGCTTCAACAGTTCATTCTGCAAGCATCTTCAAGGTATGATTGACTGAGATTAATCCATTGGCTTTGACTAAGGATTCCACTTAATTGTTAGGTTGCTGATTCCACAGACCATGATCCTGCATGCCAGCAAAGGATGTGATAAGCGAGGGAGGTTCCTCGGCTCACGCGGTAATTTTACCTCAGGAGCGTTTTGTTTTTTATGATGAATGTTGCGTCTCCATCTCTGTAAATTTACCTCACAAAGTTTTTGTTTTTTATGATGAATGTGGTTCTGCGCTCACCACGGACGCACCAGGTTAACTTTTCCGTTCCTAAAATATGTGGGCCTGGCTCATCAGCGCATACCTCTTCTTTGAGTCACTCACTAGTGGTCCCACAACTGCTCTCTCTCTCTCTCCTGCTCTCCCCTTCCACCTCTCGACACACAGGCAGACACGAAGAACAGCTTGGGCCTAGCCATCGCCAATGGCTCGTGGCCCGGAAGCTCTTGTCGGCGACCTTGGTGCGCGCCTGGTGCCCTCGCCACCAGCAGCCCACACACCTACTCTGCCATCCGGGCTTCTACTTTGAGCTGAGCCTTTGTGAGGCCAGTTCTTGTACCAAAGTCATGTAGAAATTCTTATTCATCACGACTTCTACCAGGTTTAACCAAGATGAACCATTTGAACCCATATCTGGTCGGACAAACTAACAATACTTCTACACAAAGGTCAGACACTGCTTTCTTGAGACGGTGGTAGTAAAAAACACTAGCACGCTCCTCGAAAACCAACATGAACTTCGAATTTCATCAGATTATATATTATCATTCAGCGACAGGATACTGTCACTGTGCAAACATTTTTACCTTTGGCCTGATAATGGAAGTAATATGGGAATAGAAGAAGCTTGTGTAGTAGTACAACACAAGGGACTGGGCACACAGGCATCCAGAGTCTTGATCATATATATGTTGTTAAAGTGACCCAGCTGAGCAAGGAATACACTACCTAAAGTATTCTGTAATGAAGATCTTCACTTCAATTTGAGTACCACTCTTGCTGATAAGACGCGCCGTTTGATCGCCTTCGGGCAAGGGATGAAACTCTAGTGTGCCTCTCATAATCTCGTCACCACAATCAGAGTGCAGATCTATTTCAATTACCAGTACCTTGTACAATGGCACCGCAAGCTGATGTCTAGCTAAGGGAATCAGCTCTCCTGATCGTGCACATATGCCCTTCACGTCTTCGTTGTAGAAAAGCACGCAGCCGATATCAAACAGCTCGCTGCGAGCGACAATTCTCCCAAAAAGGCTGATAGGATCTTTTACATCGCGATGAGTAAGCCTCACAGCAACTTTGCATTCAACTCCCTGGCTCAGGATGGCATAGATCACCTCCACAGGACCATAAGGAGTATTGGCAGTTTCTAATAGGGGCCTGTCCAATGTTGGGGTCTCCAGGTGTAAATGCACGCTCTTGTTCCAGATTTCTTCAACAGAGATATCTTGGCTATTGTCATGGAGATAAATGCTGAACCCGATAGGTCCATCTGCTGAGATGGCTCTTCCTGGACCAGTTAGCACAAGGTTGCCCTGTTCCATAGAAAATATAAGTGATTTACATTTGCCTCATTAAAGGTGACACACTATGTCTCAATAGATGCAAACCTGATTAACTAAGCAAACATATACTCCCTCCGTCCCAAAATTCTTGTCTTAAATTTTTCTAAATACGGATGTATCAAGTCTTGTTTTAGTATTAGATACATCCGTATCTAGACTAATCTAAGACAAGAATTTTGGGACGGAGGGAGTACTATGCACATTACATTTACTAGTGAAGCCAGACAACATGGATGCTCGAGTGCTCAACTGTTTTGCAAAAAACTTTATCATCTCTCCTTGGCAAAGCAGTTGCTGACGGCAAAAGGCTTTCTTTCTTCTATTATCAACACACGGTAGTAATAAGTTTGCAATACTCTTTGCACATGTTAACAGAACAAATCAAGAAATATACTTAGAGCCAGCATGTCCTCTTTGTAACTAGCTTTGCAGACTAAGGAAAGAAGCAGTGAATGGTACGATGGATGGTTACGCCTGTATATAGATTGGGAGCTCCTAATGAGCAGTCAACTACCCAGAGCCGTTAGGCTCTTAATGCAATGACCAGATTCACCCCTCATCTAGTACTCCCTCCGATCCACATTATTGTTGCAACTTTGTACTAAAGCTGCGACAGTTAGTTTGGATCAGAGTGAGTATTAGAACTCATCCAAACTTTATCTCCAGGGAGGTATTACATGCAAGATTCAAATTTCATTGAAATTGTGAAGTTCAGAAATTTCAAATACTTTGGTGGGTACAGGAATGTTGACATCTCGGATGAAACTTCAAGATTCTGCTGGCTAATTAGCACTTGATGGCCGAATTGATTTCTGAAATTACTAAAAAAATTAAAAATCCATAAATTTTCGTAGTACCAACATTGAACCTTAATTACGTCCTCTAATATCTTCCATGCAGTGTGTTTGAACTCTATGTACTTCCAAACAAATATCCAGCAACAGAAGTCATCAATTTTTTTTTCATTTTTTTGGCAAATGTATTTCCAAGCTTGTGCTGGCAGTTGTAGGGTCAAATAGGACCCCTAGGTCAGGAGTAGAAAATTCTAACTAATTTTCAGAACTGAAATTGTCAGAATTTTCTTATTCTTAATCTCAAAATAATATGTATTTGAGCTGGCAAATTAAACAAATATATAGTAGTTTTGAAGTCTATGTACTTTTTCCAGAATTTTTTGTGAACTTTGATAGTGGATACGAAGATTGCATGAGAAGTGTGTGGCGCACACAATACATCCCGCATCGCACCTCCTTCCAGGCCAAATGCACCGCTACTAGCCCAATAACCCACGAATCCACGTAGCAACGTGCACTTCCTTGGCCCTACCTCGCCTCCATTTTGCCTACTGTTGTCTCATGTCTCGTCGCCATCAGCAGCTTCTAAGCCAGATCCACCATCACGTCCCATCACATCCTAACATTATCCTCCTAACCAACCTACCAGCCAGCTTCGCCCACCGCCCCGTTCCACCTCCAGGAAGCCACTGGCCATGCCACTAAACCCTGTTACCAGAGCACATGGAGTAGCTTGACACGGGAGCTGGGGAGTTTCAAGGCGACCTGACGGTTAGTAAATAAAGAAAGAAATGGCTAGCTCTCAGTCAATCGAGAATTTGCAAATTACAGAATATAGTGTTTTGAAGGAGATGTGCCTATCTTTAACATCATGACTTATTTTCAACAATGTGCTATCGTCATGACACTATATTTACTTCAGCAGAATAGTTTCCTGATTAGAGATACTTTGGACACTGGAAGAAAGAAAGCCTACACCAACAGACATGATAGTGCACCTTTGATTGTTTCTAAACATGTGATTTCAGTCTCAAGCATTTCCCTAAAGAAGTAACAAGCAAACATGGATTACCATAATTCCCACTCGTCGGCTACTGATATTCCACCTACACATGGACATTCAGATATGGTTCACTTTATGTTCTACTCCCTCCGTTCCTAATATAAATCTTTTTAGAGATTTCGATATGGACTACATACGGATGTATATAGACGTAGTTAGAGTGTACATTCACTCATTTTGCTCCGTATGTAGTCCATATTGGAACCTTTAAGAAGACTTATATTTAGGAACGAAGGGAGTAGTACATTCATTGCTAGTTTCTTCACAAGAAAAATAAAACAAAATAATCATACTTTCCCAAATTTATACATGAAGTTGGATTATTTCAGTTATGCCATTCCACAATTTTAGTTGCAAGAATCTTTTTGTGGCACAATACGATTCCTTCTTCAGCCCTAAACAAAAAGATACAAAATTGAAATGGAGTTGATCAGTACAGTGGATAATTGGTAAGAATCTGCACCTGCCAATCGCAAGGTTGTGGAGTGATGGAGTCGTCATGGTGGATCCTGCTGAAGACCAGAGACACAGAGCAATAGGCGCCACCAACATCGACTATGCCACAAGGCGGCAGCCTGTTTCCTCGGGAGGAGGCGGCTGCATCAGGGACACGCACGGCAAAAACCTCCACCAGATTGCTCCCGTAGAATGGTTGGTGAGCATAACTTAGGTCGGCATACGCATGCAACTGCTCATCATTCGGGCCATCATAGCCAGTTGCAGCTGCCATGGGGACTTCCGTAGCAACAAGGCCCTCCTTTTCTGGGTTGGAACTTGCTTTTGGGGAGGCTCGTGGCTGAAATCCCAAATTCCCCTGTCTGTTGAAAATGATGTTAAAGTCCTCATTGATCATGGTTTATTTGTTTTTATTGTAGATTTTGTTTATCGTTAAGTGCAAATGATCATCAAATACAGACAGACTCCAAACAGATCGATAGAAATTACAATTAAGTTAGCTCCAAAAAAAATACAAACTTGCTATCCTGCCATCATCCATCGTATTTCTAACAGAGAAGCATGAAGTTCTTACATACTCCCATACATGTGCTGCACCATCCTACCATTCATATGCATGTAATACAAGGAACATTGCTGGGGGCGCGGGGTGGGGGTTACCTTCTGTCTGCGGGGTGGGGACGACAGTCGGGGATGGGGTACCCGACGGCGGCCGATGCAGCGGAGGACGACGGCCAAGGGGAACAGCGGCGATTGGAAGCGCTCGACGTCTGCGGAGAAAGAGCCACCAGATGGCTGGGAAGAAGGCGGAGTCTACGGCGTGGCCGCCGCCGCCGCCGGCGGCCTACTGTTCGGGGGAGGAGGAGCGGAGAAATTGGGAGATCGATAGAAGAGACAATTACAAATTGAACCTTTAGTTATGTCACACTGCCTTCGCATCACCGTTTGACAGCGACTAGTTTGAACGTTAGCGCTGCTAGTCTATATTTAGAATTTTAAGGTAATTTATTACTCCCTCGGTTCGTTTTTGTAAGTCGTTTTAGACAACTTAAAATAGGCTGTTTTGCACATTGTCTGAAATGTCTTCAAGGTCTTATAAAAGTGAACAGAGGGAGTAGAATAGTTATAATGTTGTCCTAAAAAAACTATTTTTTGGCGAATACTAAAAAAAAACTTTGTATGGTGTCATCATCTAATCGCTAGAATATGTGGTTAAAAATTCTACACAAGAATTATGACATATGTTGTTTACAAACATATTCAATATAATTATGAAGTTAGTTGCGGGGACGTCACTAGTGTGCACTGTACATTAGCAACGTGTGCAGTAGCGAAGCTACAATAGAAAGCCTGGGCGGACCGGTACAAAGGAAGATTTGCAACCCCATGGCTCAGTTTCTTAATCTCCACTATAATCTTCAATATAATTATGAAGTTATTTGCAACCCCATGGCTCAGTTTCTTAATCTCCACTACAATTTCTACGAGCTGGGCGGGCCATGGCCGATTTACCAACATGTAGCTCCGCCGGTGAACGTGTGGCTGAGGCTAAACACACTACTCTTTGCACTATACTAGTGGACTAGTGAATACTAGTGGACTAGTGAATGGGGCGTGCCGCCTGAAGGGTGACTGGGCGGTGCCAGGTAGGACAACGCTCATCCAGCAGCCTTTTTTGGCTAGCTTTACAATCGAGAGCACATTTCATTAAAAAAGACCGTTGCTTCAGTTCAGTACCATTGCCACATTGGCGCATTTCACCTGATCAGTACTACAAATTCTATCTCTCTACAAAAACACTATAGTGATGCTGCAAGCTTGTCGCACTGCGCCGACACAAAGGCCAGCATGTCCTGTCGAGGTCATAGACGACTTCTGTGTTCTGCTGCTAGTAGTTGCGGATGACGGTTTGGTCCCGGCCATCATGTCTAGCACCAGGCACATGACCTGCACGCCGTTGTCCTCCAACACATAGTACGCCAAGGCAGCTCCCAATCGCTGCCGTCCAAGTGGAGTGGAGCGTCAGCGACAGCACCAGCACGGGCGCGGCCCCCTGCCGCTGCCAGTTCAAAGCAGAGGTCCAGCTCAGTTCAATAGATAGTAGGTTGTACCTCCTCTTTGATAGTTGAGGAGGCTCGGAGCTCTAGTATTACCTGTATTACATGCCTACTCATAAATTTAAAACCAGCTTGGTTAAAACCTCATATAACTTTCAGAATAAAACATGGCAAAGCAGAGTTTTGATAACAAAAGCATGCAACGAACCAGGATTTTTGATAAATAAAATCAAGAGGCCATGTTATGCTCCAACAAGCTATACTGCAATAGTCAGTTCTATCATCAAGCTGATTACATAATAGATGATGCATTGTTCAGGCATGTTCAGGAGATAAGCTTAAGATTTCAAACTGAAAATACATAAAAATCAACTGCCATATACATCCCCATAACTAAAGTAAGCACAAAATGAGAAAGTTATAGTTTTTAAACATATTGCTTCTAGGTCTGTAGCACACTATACATTAAACTACACATGCCCCCTAAGCAATTTCAGATCTCCTTTTGAACTACAAAGTTCATCTAGAACTGTGATAACACATAACAATGAATAATCCATCTAGGCAAAAACACCCAGAGTCTATCCAAGAAGACCGCCTTGACAGTGCAGATATATCAAACAGATCAGTCTAAATTTTAAGCACTAACAAATTCAGTTTTTTTCTGCTCCCCGAAAGCGGGAAAGCGATTTGCAGTCTCATACCTCTTTTCTGAGGTCATCGCCGATGCCTCCTTCATCCCCGAGATCCTCCTTCGGCGCTCCACTCGCTTCAAGCTCTGAAAACAACACGCACGCCACACCACAGAGAAAACACCAAATCAAGCGATTAGCAATCCATCACTGCCATATAGGCATCGAATCCGATCCGATAGGCGCAACGAAAGATTCAAAACCTACTCACTGTTTCGTCATCGTCCAGGAAGGCATCCTGAGCCGGCTCTGGCACACGAGCGGATCCTGAAGAAACTCCCGAAAAAACAGATCATCGTCGTGTGGACCAAAAATCAGACGAAGATTTTACCTAGATCGGGCGCGACCAGTCACCACTAAACCGCAGCGGCCTCGAGCTCGGAGTTCGATTCCACCTTCAACCTTCTGACAATCTGCAGTAAACAAAATGGAAGCGAGGTGAGAAAACCGTCGAACCGATGGCAGGCACAATAAACATGCATGTCAATGAAGCAATATTCTCAAATGATGTACTTACCTTTAATTATCTGTTGCAGGATAGAAAGCTGAAGCGATACTTGACTCCCTTTGATGTCAGGCTGAATAGAGCTCTGAAGAACTACTCTGGTTGTGTCGATAGAGCTCTGAAGAACTACTCTGGATAGTTACTGCTTGCTAAGTTTAAGAGTTAAAAGAGTGTTTTGGTTGTGTTGATAGGCTCTGTTTCTACTTTTTGTAGGAAGAATGATTTGTAGATTTGGAGTCTACTCCAACTGAATTTTGTGTACATTGAAATGGAGATGCATCAGTAATTTTGTGTACATTGAATGGAGAATTGGGCTTGGATTCCCATTACTCTTATCCTACCTCAGCAATTTCGGGTTAGGATAAAATCATGGGTTTTCCCAAAATAAAATAAAACAAGCCCAGTAAGAAAGTATCATAAGAACCAAAGCCTATCAGAGAATTAGGCACTTCTGTTGGCATGTCAACAATCAAGTCCTCAATTTTTATTCCATCTGTAAAAGATGAACAATAAACTTAATCTGTAAAACTCGTCTCGAGACTGCCATACTTTAACCAGGAGCCAGGAAAGCTAGAGTGCATATCACACATACATTCAGGCAAGCAAATAACTTCGATTGAATCCAATCCTTTGCATATATGGCATAAAGGCATCTAGAGAAGAAAAATACTTGATGATGTCAGTCTACCTTGCCAAGCTCATCAAATCCATCCAGCTGATTAGTTCTTGAAATCCTTCAAATCCTTCAAATCCTTCTTGCAGATGGAATAAAAAGATAGCTCACCTTCAAATCCTTGGCAAAGCATAGCCTTAGTTCTTGAACTGAGCTCTTCTTGCAGATGATCTGCAGTGAGCCCCCAAACGAATGTTTGATAGTATCAATAGTATGAATGACATCACTGAGTGCACATTTTCTACCGTTGGAGATCAAGATATCCCTGATCGCCAGTATTCCCTGTGATTCAAATTCAAATTATAAAACTGTAAAAGAGACAATTTTCTATGACATAGTTTAGTAGGAGTCAAATTCATCCACACTACAACTCAAGTGGTTTTATGTTTGTTTTCTTCATCTGGAAACCAAGCTAATTTGAATACCAAAGTTTTAGGTGTATAGCCAACAAAAGAAACCAGCAATTCCTACAAGAAAAAACAATAATGAGCTATGCGTAATGAGTTAATGGCCAGATGCTTACTGTAACATTATATCTGATGTAGAGATCACGGGCAGTAGTGAAGTACTGTAATTCTTCCTGTACAGCAGGGGCCGAGCATATTCCATGCCTCTGTACAAATTAAACAAATGGCATAGATTTAGCAATGGAAATGAGACAATGTTTGTGCACATGGGTAACAATTAGCAAGTCTTTCTTATGACAATAATCTAATTCATTAGGTAAATGGATTGAAGAAATTTCCACACTAAAGGATCCATGAACAACCGATTGAGCAGCACATATCAATGACATTATGCAAAACAACATGCAAAGGAACAACACAAAAGGTTAATGACAATTCCAACCAAGGAGTAATTCTAGAGTCCAATCCACAGTTCTTGTGAAAATTAAAAGACATGCTTCAAGAACACCTAATTGGCAGCATTAAGCTTCTACGATATTTGCACAAACCAATTCTCTCACACGTGAGCTGCAGCTTAATTAAATAGATTCAGAAGAAACACGAGTACATATATCAGTGCATAAACCACTCTTCTCAACGCTCGGCTGGTCTAAGTTCTGATATCTTCATTCTTCATATCCTCCAAAAAAATATGCTTTGATGTGCAGAAACCAGACCACTTCAAGTTCTAGTGAATAATACAATTGTCACTGAAATAGCATAAGCACTTGCATTCCTATGTACTTTAGATAATGTGTTAGGTGGATAAACTGGTGTATTGCAAAGGAACACATGACAGACAAATCGAATAACATACATCAAAGACAATATTTTACCATCTCAAATTAACTACTGCAACTATTTGATTTTGTTAATCACAGAAAAATCAACTTTCTCGTTT